TGGAGGTTTTTGCTGTCATTCTGGCCTTTGAACTGGTATCCTTATGCAATTATGTGGTTGCACTTGACTTCACATTATTAAATGTGCAGTTTTTATTTCCTTTCCTACTGAAGGGTAGTGGACTAAAACTGACATCTTAGGATCAGAAGAAATAACAGACACATATGTTAAACAAATGGCTGCATTATAGCAAATTAATTACTGTATCTTTCCCTGAATCAGAAGTTATATCTTGATTCTAAATAAACAGGGTACTTGTACAGTTTTTTTTTGTCAGAAGTACAAGTCACAACATATTGGAAAGAATTATTGATCCAAAACTCTGCCTACCAGAGGGTAAGGAACAAGACAGTAGATGGCAAGGGGAGGCCTCAGTTGCAACTAGACCATAAGAAAACAACTTTAAATACTCAATTAAAATGTTAAAATACTACATCATTTGTTAAAGCTGGATCTGTTACCAAATCAGCTTTGAGTCCTTCTGGCCATTTCCTGCTAACAGAGGGTTGTGTTTTTTTCTTGAACAGTGATCACAAATGGACACAGACAAACAATAATCAATTCATTCTCAGAATAATAATTGCAAATCTGGGGCAGAACCAAAGAAAGTTATTATCACAGTATGTCAGTGCAATTTATCAGCGTATAATTCAGATCTAGTCTGTGATTACCACAGCAGTAGATAACAGCTTGGAGAAGCACTATGAATGTCTGACAAAAACCCAAAGTCCCTGTCCACATTACTAATGTATATTTGTGTGGGAACTGTACACAGCAGGTAAGTGTTTACATCCACAGCAGAAATCACATTAGGGTTACATGTGCTGGGTACTTAAAAAGATGGCAAGTACCAAGAAAACTTAGTGTCATTGGGCAATTGATGCTCCTTTCTTACAGTATGTTCCTAGGGCAGACATAACTTCTGCTGTCTGGACTCCATTATCTTGATTTTGTTAAAGAAAATATAAGCTGAGGAAAAAGATAAAACATACATTGGAAGGGAGGAAAGAAGAGAAAGAGATGAGAAAGAAATAGCAAAAGCTAGAAAAAAGATCAGCTAAAAATGCAAAACAAAAACTCCCATCACTGCCTGGTAATAGTTACCTAGATGTATGAACAACTTATAAGCTAAGCAAATTATTTTTTTTTCCCTCTGGCAAATAACCTATTAATCAAACTTGGCTTTTGTTCATGCAAAATCAGGGTGAATCAAATAGATTCCTTGGGGGAAGGGAGGTGCTAGATTCATAAAAGTGCCAGAGAAAGAGGTGCTGCTGCTCCAAGTAACTCAAACATTCACCTGGGAGATAGGAGACTCAGATTCAAATCAGTGCTCTGAAGCAGGCAGAAAGAAGACTGAAACATGAATCTCCCACCTTCTAGCTGAATAGTCTAGCCAGCTGTCTGCAGCCTAGGCTGAGAAAAAGAATCCTTGTATTCTCTCCTGTTAAATCAGTTACACTACATGAACTACTTAAATGTAAGTCAACCCATTAAGAAAATTATTTTATAGTCTGATGCCTAGCATGCACACCTGGGTTCCAGTCCCTGCTCCAGTTCATGTTTAATTATTTACACAAAATGGAACATCTCCAATAGGAGACTCAGACTACCCTGCCATTACTAGCATAATGTTCAGACCACTTAAGCCAAGGAGGTAAGTTAAAACTGCATTGCCCACATCCTTGGTGAGTTTCCTAACCACTGGGCTAGGAATGAATAAAGCAAAACCACTTAGTTCTTTATTTCCTTTGTTTTCTTACACTGAGCCTGAAACAGCCATTTGTAAGGTTTCATTTGATGCAAATTAATATATATTTGCTTTTTTGTTTCACTGAGAAAAAACATTAGAAGTTATTTCAGTTAAATTAAATCTGAAATTATTTTTTCCAGTTTGATTGCCAACCAGAAAAATCACTGTTTTCATCCCTACACTGTTTCTTTCCATAGGTTAGACAGGGAAAGTAGTATAACCCAGTTCAGCTCAACCTTGCTTTAAACCAAGGTTGCAGTACTGCAGAGAAGGACCTAGGGGTTATGGTGGACCATAAGCCGAGTATGAGTCAACAGTGTGCTCTTGCCACAGAAAAAGCTAACAGTATCCAGGGGTGTATTAACAGTAGTGTCACTTGCCAATGAAAGGAAATGATTCCTTTGCTCTATATAGCACTGGTGCGGCCCTGCCTAGAGTACTGTGTTCAATTTTAGGTGCTACACTATAAGATGGATATGGACAGTTTAGAAAGCATCTAACCCAGAACAACAGAAATGATTAGGGGCCTGGGAAGCAAGACTTATAAGGAAAGGCTGAAAGAACTAGGATTATTTAGCCTGGAGAAGAGAAAGCTAAGAAGGGATTTGATAGCAGTCTTCAAATACCTGAAGGGTAATTAAAGAGAGGGTGGAGATGGGCTTTTCTCTGTTGCTACGCAGGACAGGGCTAGGAACAAAAGCCTCAAGCTTCAGTAAGGAAATTTTGGGCTGGAGATTAGAAGGAACTTTCTGACTATATGAGAGTGGCTAGGCATTTGAACAGGGTACCTAGAGAAGTCATGGACTCTCCATGCTTGGAAACTTTCGAAAGGAGGTTAGACAGACATCTGGCTGGGATGGTTGTGTCAGGGATGATTCTGCCTTGAGCAAGGGGCTGGATTAGATGACCTTGTGAGGTCCCTTCCAGTCCTACTTCCCTATGATTCCTATACACCAAGCACAAACAGCCCTTCTTCCATTCCATGCTTGGAAGCAATATGAGACAGGTGAAGAAAGACACACACACATCTTGCATCACCTGAACACATACAAGCAGACAAATTAACACATGGCACCACAGTGGGTATTTACTGGCACCAGTGGCAGGGGAATGCTAGTAATGTGAGCCCATACTCACAGTGATGATGATGCAAGCCTTATTATAAACATGTACAAAACTTACAGGGTAAATTTGCTCCCAAGTAATAATTTCTCACATAAGGTGAACACTGGGCCATGTTTCAGAGATGACCCTCACATTCCTTCAGAGCAAGACACAACATAGGGGGCTAAATGCTGGCTTTGAGGCTGACCAAGTTGCAGATCAGATGCTGGCTCTGTGCTCGCTTCTCTGTTCTCGGAGGTACCCGTGTCCTTGGTAACTTCTTGTTTACAACAGTGAGAGCTGCTGGCTGCTGTCCCTTTTGTGCTGTTTATATCACACTCTTTCCCATATGGCTCCCTGGACTGCTGGGCAGCTTTGCCTATGCCTGCACTTTCCCTTGCTTATGCTTGCGCTTTCCTACTGTTTCCTGAGGAAAGGAAGATACAAACTTCCAGTCTCAGAGAAATGTATTTTACTTGTACTCAGTGTTTTGTATTTTGGGGACTACAAATCCCCTATAATTTAAGGTTTCTTCAAAAAACCCTTTTGTGTGTAATTGCTCCATGGGTAAAAATATGCTGGTGAACTGCTGCAGGATCAAAACAGTTTGTCTTCCATAATTTTGCCTTCTGGCCAGGCATGTATCTATAAGATAGTGAGTTCAGTGATAAAAACAATGGTTAAAAAACATAAGTTCTTTCCCAAGTCTCATACAGACTTTCTGTGTGAAGATGAGTGAATCATGCAGGCTGAGATTTTCAAATGTGTCACCTTATCTTGGCTGTCTGAATTACTTGTGTGCTTAACTTGAGACATCTATACTGCCTCATTTTAAATCAGGCGATATTTGTACAGCAGACTTTTGCCACCAAGGTGTGAAGAGGTGTGATTCCACACTGACAGAGCTGTGATGCTGGAAGTACCCCATTTAAGCAGTGTCAAAACTGCACTTTTATGGGTATAGTTTCTTTCACAAGGGGTGGGAGGGGTTTAAAACATGCCTTTGTAGTGTTGCTGTATACACAAAGAATGGTTTGCTAGTCTAATAAAGTGATGGAGTACTCCAGTGTGGACATAATAAAGAAATACTCAGCATCTGCAGCTCTCTGGTTTAAATTGGACTTGTGGAGTACCCTATGTGTTCAAAATAACAGATGCAGGCAGAGGTAATATCAAAGAAGAACCTCCGTGCAAATACAAGTTCTGCTTGGAAGGATGCAGGAGGGCTGTGGACTAGGAAGGAGGAGCCCTTGTAAAACAAAGAGCAGTAGCAGAGTGAGACTTCTGCACAGTGCATGGAGTCTTTCCTTCGATATCAAGCCCAGCCTGCATCTGCTGCATCTTCAGACCTGACAAAGGCCCTTCCATGCCCCACCGCTTGCCCAGCAGCTCAGTGGGTCTTGTAGAAGCTCTCACAGAAAAGCCTCTCCTGTTCACACGTCACGGACGGTCCTGGCTATGCTGCTGCAACGCTACTTCAAAAATAAATCAGCCAGTTTATGAGATTTCAAAAGAGCAGGGTTGGGATCTTCTCGGTAACCTTCTTTGAGGCACCGGGTGGTTCCTTATTTTCAAGCCTTTCAAGCGGCAAAGCAGGGAAAGAAAAAGCGGTTGTAATGTAACGGAAGGTTTTCTGGTGGGCATGGGAAGCAGGCCTCCAGACACACCCCAGCCAAGGGGACGGGCTCCTCCGAAAATCCTGTGGTCCGCACTCGGGAGCACGGTTCGCATCACGGGGGAGCTGCTTGGGAGCTCCCTTAACTGAAGAAAGCCCCCCTGTAAGTTTTGAAAACCATAACCTGGGGAGTCTCCGATTTACTAGGGCACTGTGATGGACAGCCCCATGCTTTTTGCCGACCCCCCAAGAGTCAGTGCCATTTCCCATTCCACCCCGCTGGGGGGGGCTCCGGATCACGCACCGCCTTGGAGCGCCCCCCCCCCCCGCAGCAGGGCGGTTCAAACCCCCTCCCCGCAGGGTAGCGAGGGGCGGGGCCGCGTGACACCTCTGCTTCTTCCCCTCCTGGCCAATGGCGGGGCCGGCCGCGCCCGACAGGCTTCCAGGCAGACCAATGGGAGGCCGGCCGCGCCCCGCCGGGCCAATGGCGGGCGGAGGAGGCGTGTCCCGCCGCGGGGTGGGCGAGTGGAGAGCAGCGCAGCTCAGGAGCCGCATCCCGGTCCCGAGCTGCGTGGCTCGGCCCGGCCATTGTGCTGCGCCAGGCCAGGGGCGCGCGCCCACCTGCCGCCATGTCGTCGCCGTCGTCCGGGGAGCAGTACGAAGAGGAGGAGGACGGCGCGTACGAGAGCCAGGCCAAGCGGCTCAAGCCCAGCGCCGTCGCTGAGGAGGGCGAGATCGAGTACGGCGGCGCCGAGGAGGGCGACGGCCGGCGGGACAAGGGCCCCGCGCCCCGCGGAGGAGGCTTCGCGGCCGGGGTGAGGAGCGCAGCGGCGAGGGCCGCCAGTCGCTTCCGTGTGGTGCCGGGCGC